GTATAAGCGCCTGATAGGTAATTGACTCACTTTCAGGCCTCTGAAGACGGCGTTGAGCCGAAACGTAAGGGGAAATAAAGTGTTCCTATAAAAACCTGTTACGGCATAATAACACCAAGATCAAGGCTTTTTGAGATTTTTATTTCAAAACAAGTATACTATTTTGATGTGCTTATTCTGCAAATATTTTCAGAATATGTTAAAGTTGCTAGTTCTAAAAAAATTTGATGATTGATGTAAAGGAAGGTAGCAGCTCCGTCTATTCAGGTTTTTTTCTGCTCAACATCAGAAGTGCTGTGATCACCAATCATCGCTGAATAAGTTCTTCTACAGGAACAGGCACATGTATACTCCTACTCAAAAGTGCATGGACGATCAGCAATGGAGCACATGTATGAAGCTATCATGTCTATGCTAAAAAACTCTGCATAGTACAGTGTCAAAAGGAGTTCTGCTGATCTTGGAAGGTACCCTAAGTGCTCGGCCATATAAGTGTCACTCGCTTTCCGCTTAATCGTTTGTTTAACCCGTTTTTTCTCCAATGTGATTGGCTTTCGCCTATATTCACTTCATGTTCCTGCTTTCGTTTTTTTTCTTGCTGGTAGTCAATAATCTCCTACATTATTCGAAAAAAAGTGTTTCCTGTCTTGTAATTAGATATTATGAGAGTGCTTCTGACCATCACGTTGCCTACGATGACTAATCAGAAGTACTTCCTTGATTGAAACATTAACGCTTTATTACTACTTTTTATATGTCTTTGAAATAAAGGAAGGAGGATTTCAAATTCTAATTTTATTCCAGTCGCGATAACACATTACACAAATGTAGCTTTCTCTAAATTGAAATTAACCCTTTTGCCTTTTCAGATAAGTGCACCTCCATTTAGTTTAAAAGCTGACACATTTCCCAAATTATCAATTTCCTTATTTCATTTCATTGAACTGGTATTTGTGGAAGTACTGGAGGAACTTCTAAATTTTCATAGAGTCCCTCTCCTTCTTGTTTCTTCTGTTCAGGTTCCGCAGGTGGAGGAGGAGGTGGCAGTGGGGGAGGTGGTGGAGGTGGCGGTGGAGGTGGTGGTGGAAGTGGTGCTGCAGCTAGCTCACGAGGTGCTGGTGGAGGTGGCGGGCGCGCTGCCCCCTGAAGCATATTGTAGTACATTAAATTATAGGATACAGATGGGACTAATGATATATTACCGCAATATAGAGGTCTACTGACTGTGGGCTGACTGCTTGTTTGCGAGCTTGAATGCCGCTCATTTTCGACTTGCTTCTAGTAACGTTTTCTTTGATTTCTTTGCTGAAAATACTGTGTGCGTACGGTGCATGAGAGCATTTCACATACCCTATAGTCTGGACGATTACTTTCTTATCTCCTGCGCCCTTTGAAGCCGTATGTGCTGGTGCATAGCAGTAAAAAATTATGGACACAACCAAGGTAAACAGAATTGCGATTGAAGATAAGATCTGTAAAGTAATCACAATAAGGAAAAATTCTTTTAAAAGCTCTAATCTCGAGGATGAATGGCTTCAATATCTTTTAGACAGTTAAGATAATTTTCAAAGTTTTGCTTAAGTGTTCCTATAAAAAGCCAATATGAATAGCCAACCGCGCTTCCTCTTATTGTTCGTGAGAATCCGCCCGGTGCACGAGGAGCTTTATGCATCCACAGACAAAATACGCCTGCGCCATTATTTACAATGGAAAATAGTAATATTATGGATATCTAAATTTCCAATTTGAATACCAATATTAATAAAACCCAAAGTGTTCTTGTT